TGTGTATTCAGGTTCTGTTGTGGATCCGCGTTCAGTGCCGCTGCTGACGTAAGACGCTGCTGACGTGTGTCTGGTGTGTGTGTGTGTGTGTGTGTGTGTATTCGGGTTCTGTTGTGGATCTGCGTTCAGTGCCGCCGCTGACGTAAGACGCTGCTGACGTGTGTCTGGTGTGTGTGTGTGTGTGTGTGTGTGTGTGTGTGTGTGTGTGTGTGTGTGTGTGTGTGTGTATTTATGGCGTTATTATCCTGTCCAATGTCGAGAGCGCATTATTGTAGCGCGAAAGTACATTAATATTATGCGCGAGCGTGAATCTCTCTGCTCGCGCGCGGAATATGATGTGCCGAGCGTGAATCCCTCTGCTCGCGCGCGGAATATGATATGCACAGCGCGAATCTCTCTGCTCGCGCGCGGGAACTGGGCGCGCGCTCTCAGATACACTTCTCTTGTAAGAATTCTCTCTCTGGGCTGAGTGGGCTCGCTGCCTCGCTCAGAGAATATGCCTGCACTTAAAACGTGTTCAGTGCAATCGCGAATTGCTCCTCTTCCCCAGCTAACAATTTTAGGTTATAAGAACGTTTTCATAACGTTCCCATTAAGTTATAAAAACGTTATTTCTGAATGTTCTAGGGAATTTCAAAAAGTCCAGTTTTTTAGACGTTGTATTAACGTTATTTCTTGGTTATAAGACCGTTCAATTCTCCCGTTATGTAAACGTTGTATTAATGTTTTTTCCTGGTTATAATAACGTTAGAACGTTCAATTCTCCCTTTATATAAACGTTGTATTAACGTTCTTGCTTGGTTATAAGAAGTTATTCAAACGTTCAATTCTCCCATTATATAAACGTTCTCTTAATGTTTTTCTAAGATAATGAAAAACGTTTCATTCAATAAAAAAAACATTAAGAAATGTTTTAATAATTATTAAAACCTTTCTTAATGTTTTTTATATAACAAGGTAGCCTATATAATAGGCCTAGCCTATATGAAGAACCTAAAATAAAAATAAAAAAAGACCCATGAATCATGTCTATAATATGTGTAATGTAGCCTACTCCACTGAAGTCGAGTTGAATTGAACCCAAGTAGGCCTATAGTTTATTCCAGTAAACCGATTTGGGTTGAAGTGACCATATGAAATTAACATGAACATAAACTTGGACTAAACATAGAATCACCAACAATGGTACAGGGAACAAAGCTAGACAAGAGACAATGGGAACACAAGGACAAGGATTATGACCAAAAACAACCACAAGTTAAAGTTAATTTAATTTATATAGCTCATTTTTACAACAATTTCCAAGTTTATGTTTATGTTAATTTCATATGGTCACTTCAACCCAAATCGGTTTATTGGAATAAACTATAGGCCTACTTGGGTTCAATTCAACTCGACTTCAGTGGACTACATTACACATATTATAGACATGATTCATGGGTCTTTTTTATTTATTTTTGTCTTAATTTTAAAATCTGAAAGTTCTTGTTTTAGGTTCTTCATATAGGCCTATTATATAGGCTACCTTGTTATGAATGAAACGTTTTTCATTATCTTAGAAAAACATTAAGAGAACGTTTATATAATGGGAGAATTTAACGTTTGAATAACTTCTTATAACCAAGCAAGAACGTTAATACAACGTTTATATAAAGGGAGAATTGAACGGTCTTATAACCAAGAAATAACGTTAATACAACGTCTAAAAAACTGGACTTTTTGAAATTCCCTAGAACATTCAGAAATAACGTTTTTATAACTTAATGGGAACGTTATGAAAACGTTCTTATAACCTAAAATTGTTAGCTGGGGAAGAGGAGCAATTCGCGATTGCACTGAACACGTTTTAAGTGCAGGCATATTCTCTGAGCGAGGCAGCGAGCCCACTCAGCCCAGAGAGAGAATTCTTACAAGAGAAGTGTATCTGAGAGCGCGCGCCCAGTTCCCGCGCGCGAGCAGAGAGATTCGCGCTGTGCATATCATATTCCGCGCGCGAGCAGAGGGATTCACGCTCGGCACATCATATTCCGCGCGCGAGCAGAGAGATTCACGCTCGCGCATAATATTAATGTACTTTCGCGCTACAATAATGCGCTCTCGACATTGGACAGGATAATAACGCCATATGTATTCGGGTTCTGTTGTGGATCTGCGTTCAGTGCCGCCGCTGACGTAAGACGCTGCTGACGTGTGTCTGGTGTGTGTGTGTGTGTGTGTGTGTGTGTGTGTGTCTGGTGTGTGTGTGTGTGTGTGTGTATTCTGGTTCTGTTGTGGATCCGCGTTCAGTGCCGCTGCTGACGTAAGACGCTGCTGACGTGTGTCTGGTGTGTGTGTGTGTGTGTGTGTGTGTGTGTGTGTGTGTGTGTGTGTGTGTGTGTGTATTCTGGTTCTGTTGTGGATCCGCGTTCAGTGCCGCCGCTGACGTAAGACGCTGCTGACGTGTGTCTGGTGTGTGTGTGTGTGTGTGTGTGTGTGTGTGTGTGTGTGTGTGTGTATTCTGGTTCTGTTGTGGATCCGCGTTCAGTGCCGCTGCTGACGTGTGTCTGGTGTGTGTGTGTGTGTGTGTGTATTCCTGTTCTGTTGTGGATCCGCGTTCAGTGCCGCTGCTGACGTGTGTCTGGTGTGTGTGTGTATTCGGGTTCAAATAAATATGGCTGGGCAAAAAAATTCAAGTCTTCCTCTGTGTGGAAATCCTTAGACATGTTTGTGAAGATTGTTTTGTTTCCGGCGTGCGTCTCCCTCAGACTGTAAACGAAGCTCGGGCGCACCAGACACACACACACACACACACACACACACACCAGACACACGTCAGCAGTGTCTTACGTCAGCGGCGGCACTGAACGCGGATCCACAACAGAACCAGAATACACACACACACACACACACACACACTAGGGGTGGAACGGTACATGTATTCGTATCGAACCGAAACGGTACGGGCGTCACGGTTCGGTGCACGAATTTACACGGAGAATACACGGTATAAAAATAAATTAAACTCGCGTGCAAATTAATTAATGTAATGCGGAACTACCGTTAGATACGCGGGTTCTTTAGGGACACATAATCTGTACCATCGGCTTAGCTCTGAACGCGCGTTCACTTCAAACGTTGGCTTTATACGCGCGTCCTATTCACTTTGGACTTGCGTCGAACTAGACGCGATAGACGCGAATTTGACGCTCTATTCGCGTTTGGTGTGACCGCATAATGGGCTGCGATGTCAAGATTGCAATGCTGGAGTGTGTGTGTGTGTGTGTGTGTGTGTGTGTGTGTGTGTGTGTGTGTGTGTGTGTGTGTGTGTGTGTGTGTGTGTGTGTGTGTGTGTGTGTGTGTGTGTGTGTGTGTGCGAGAGAGAGGCGCGATTGAACTCTGTGTGTGTGTGTGAGAGAGAGAGAGAGAGAGAGAGAGAGAGAGAGAGAGAGAGAGAGAGAGAGAGAGAGAGAGAGAGAGAGAGAGAGAGAGAGAGACGCGGGCGCGATCGAACAGTGGAAACATAAAAAAAAACATACTCCGTAATTTTGTTCATACAGATCATTAAACCTGCAAAGTGTTTACACATTGTGCACACTGTAAACTCTAGTCAAACTGTAACCTACAACTGTCACTCAACCAAAATCACACACACACACACACTGTTTAAAAGAAAAACATATTTTATCCAACTCCATTTCAAAACAGTCTGTGTTCCATCTTTTAGACATTCATCATATCGCATTGGTTTTCATTTCTTGTCCTCGGAGCGCTAATCTAACACATTCTACATTGATTAAAAAAGAAAATCGAATGTGTTTTTAATGGTAGTAATATTTTAACAGAAATCAATTATTTATAATTCAGATGAGAATAATGTTACATTGTTAATTAATAATGTTAATTAAAATTAAGGAAAACAAATATATTGATCTGAAATATAGCAAATTAATTTTAAATTAATTCAGGTACAATTACCAAACATATCGCAAGGTCTTTTTGTCTTTTCATTAATTTAATTAATAAACTAATTATATAAAACTATTGTCAGTGCACTACAAATAAACTGGTTCTATGCCTTTATTAATAAAACTTATTTAAAAAATACAATGCCTTCTGCATTTTTGTTTTGCTTTTCCCTCCATTGTACCGAAATCGTACCGAACCGTAATGTCTGAACCGAGGTATGAACCGAACCGTGACTTCTGTGTACCGTTCCACCCCTAACACACACACACACACACACACACACACACACCAGACACACGTCAGCAGCGTCTTACGTCAGCGGCGGCACTGAACGCGGATCCACAACAGAACCGGAACACACACACACACACACACACACACACACACCAGACACACGTCAGCAGCGTCTTACGTCAGCGGCGGCACTGAACGCGGATCCACAACAGAACCGGAATACACACACACACACACACACACACACACACACCAGACACACGTCAGCAGCGGCACTGAACGCGGATCCACAACAGAACCGGAATACACACACACACACACACACACACACACACACCAGACACACGTCAGCGGCGGCACTGAACGCGGATCCACAACAGAACCGGAAGACAATACAATGCTGAATAAAGTCGTAGTTTTTGTTATTTCTGGACCAAAATGTATTTTCGATGCTTCAACACACTCTAACTAACCCACTGATGTCACATGGACTACTTTGATGATGTCTTTATTTCCTTTCTGGACAAGGACAGTATACCGTACACACATTTACAATGGAGGGACAGAAAGCTCTCGGACTAAATCTAAAATATCTTAAACTGTGTTCTGAAGATGAACGGAGGTCTGACGGGCTTGGGACGAATTTTTGGGTGAACTAAGTGTGTTATGAAACAGTCTTGAAAGGTTCTGCAGATAAATCGCCTTTCATTTCATTTAAGATTTGAAGTACACTGCAAGTGCACACTAAATACAATTATACACACTTTTCCCCCCTCAAAGATGTTAATATTTTGAGTTCTTGATGTGTGTTGTGCATGTACCTTCCTCTCCTGTAGGGGGGGTTTGCTGCAGGATATTGGTTCTGCGTAAGACATGTGGTCTCGCTGTTCCCTCCTAATGAAACACACACAGTATGAGCAGCCAAACCTCATCGAGTTCATCCAAAGCTGCACATATCAGAGTTTTAAATGGCCTTGTGCTTTTGATTAGTGTTTATAATGAATTGTACAGTTTGGTTTCTGATTTAGAAGATGGTTTGTTAGTTTAAAATGAAAGTTCAGAGACGTATTTGAGTCACTGTGTGTAAGGAGAGTGTGTGTGGAGTTTATTAAAGTGTTTAGAGTTGATGTACAGAGGAAACAGAGCTGTAGTAACAGAACTGATCAAAAAAATCACACAACCATTTTCTTTCCTTATAATAAATGTGTACATATTCTCATTGGAGACTTCATACGACCAAAATAATCTTTTGAAACTTGCAGAAGCTAAATATGGCAGGCTACAAATCATACCTAATTATTATAAGAATAATATTCAATAAGTAATCTAATGGAAAATTAGGCTTTATTTGTATGCTTACAGGAAATACTTATTTTTATGCAACATTTTTATCAAGTTTCCCAAAGATACACTTAGGTTATGTTGCATTTGTTTGATCGAAAATACAGTAATATTAGTATGCTACCTGTATATTGTGAAATATTATTACAATTTAAAATAGCTGTTTTCTATGTGAATAATATATATTAACTGTAATTTATTCCTGTTATCAAAGCTGAATTTTCAGCATCATGATCCTTCAGAAATAATATGATGATTTGATGTTCAAGAATCTGCTTTTCTTATAATCACAGTTGAAAATTGTTATTCTGCTTAATGAAGTGTGGAAAATGTCTTTTTCAGGATTCTTTGATAAACAGAAAGTTTGAACAGCATTTATTTCAAATAGAAATCTTTTGCAACATTATAAATGTCTTCTTTACTGTCATTTTTGATCAATTTAATGCACCGTTGCTAAATAAAAGTATTCATTTCTTTCAGGAACATCACATCTAACTCTATGAATTTACTATCTATTCATCACCACATAATAATATTAGAATTAGATAATGCGCTCAAGTTCATAAAAGTTGGTCTTAAAGTGTATGCAAATGATATTTAGTAAAGAAAACTTACAATAGAGTGAGTCTGATTAAGTGGCTCAATTGTGTACACATGGAGTCCATCATCAAACATGCCACTGGGTACCAGAGAGAGACACACAGTTATGTTGAGTCATTTACCCAAAGCAACTTAGAAGTGAGGAAAACATACAGACATTACAAACCACAGTACAATGAGTTATAGGAACATAATTTGTAGCATAAACATACATTACTCAAATTAACTTAAAAATTGGGAATAAATACAGACACAACTGAGTAAGTCAGTATTGAGAGAGTATTTAGGTGTGTGTGTTGAGTGCGGTACTCACTGTAGACCGTTACAGGTGGACAGAGCGGCATGCGAGTTGTCATTCCCTCTGATGTGGCCGTGGTAGTAACAGTGCTCTCCACCCTGACAACACACACACATTTAGGGCCTTAGGACACATTCACTCCTGGTCACTTCATGCGTTTTCTCTGATTGGACAGCTATCCGGTCGTGAAAAGACCAGGTGTAAATGCCCTCCAAAACGCATTCGAGACGGATATAAATCTGATCACTCAAACCACTTCAGGAGACGCTTGCCAGATGAACGTGGACAAGAAGTGTAAATGCATCTGGTTGTTAAAGGGATAGTTCACCCCGAAATGAAAACTCTGTCAGTAATTACTCTCCCTCCTGTTGTTCAACCCCGTAAGACTTTCGTTCATCTTCGCAACACAAATTAAGATATTTTTGATTAAATCTGAGAGCTGGATCACTCCTCCATAGGCTTCTTAAGGGATCGAAACTGGCCGGCCCAGAAAAGTTATGAAAGACATCGTTAAAATAGTCCGAGTGACTACAGTGGCTCAGTCTTAAGTTTATCAAGCGACGAGAATACTTTTTGTGCGCAGAAAACAAACAAAAATAACGACTTTATTCAACTATTCATTTCCTTCTCTGTGGGCCTCGAGATTTCACGTAGTGAAACTACGCAAAGTTTCTAGGTTGCACGTCACGCATCACACACATGACCAGCGTCGGCCAATAGTGAGCCTGCATGTGAAGTGCAACACAGAAGCGCTGCGCTGTTAAACTACGTGAAATCTCAAGGCCCACAGAGAAGGAAATGAAAAGTTGAATAAAGTCGTTATTTTTGTTTGTTTTTTTGCGCACAAAAAGTATTCCCGTCGCTTGATAAACTTAAGATTGAGCCGCTGTCGTCACTCGGACTATTTTAACGATGTCTTTAATGACTTTTCTGGGCCGGCAAGTTTCAGTCCCTTAAGAAGCCTATGGAGGAGTGATCCAGCTCTCAGATTTAATCAAAAATATCTTAATTTGTGTTCCGAAGATGAACGAAAGTCTTACGGGGTTGGAACAACATGAGGGAGAGTAATTACTGACAGAGTTTTCATTTTGGGGTGAACTATCCCTTTGAAGCCATATTTTACTAAAAAAGTGAGAGCTCAGCTTGGCTACAATGACAGTCACAGATGTTATTCCATGTAGTAGTCAATGAATAAGTTCTCTAGCTGCTATAAAACAAACATTTTGGAGGGAAAAGACTAAATATAAATGGAATCAATACCTAAAATGCTCCCACTGTAGTCAATAATTGTATCCCTTAAAACTCATCTTTGATCGCCAAAATGACATGTTTCAAATGTTTTTTCCTTGAAAAAATTATTTCATCATGCCTTCAAATATCTTGACTGTAACTCGACACTCTTGCCTCATTTAGTATACGCGGTTCTATGAATATGCAAATGAGCCCCGCCTCCACTCACTCACTCAGCTCAGAGATCCACTGGTTGACGATCACACGTTGATCTGATTGGTTACAAGGTCGTTTGTGACGTCAGAAACACCAGCGATTTCAAACCGTGTGTTTGAGACTGTCTTTGGTTCACTGCAGTTTTAAGGAGAAAATACTCTGCAATGCTGTCGACTTATGAATTTACACATGGTGTGTCTTAAAGCAAATCGCTGGTCTATCTGGGTTCACAAAACCATTCAAGCTCGTTGTCAGCATGGCGAGTGTGAGCTCAGGTTAATCATAGAGAATTTTTTGTTAGCTAAAATGAACTTCTCCACATTGCCGCCAACACTACTCTACAGGATGGAGTGGAGGATCACGTGCGCTCCTTTGACTTCACTCTTCACCTGCATCAAGTTAAACACATCTCAACGTTACGTCCTGTCGCCAAAGATCACTGTCGCCGGAAATTACCAGCTCTCCATTGAAATGAACAGGATCAAGGCACTGTGTGTCGAGTGACCAGTGCTTGACCATTGGCGATAAGATATAGGCGTGTCATTGAGATATGCTGCGTTCACGGCATGTCGTAATTACCGTAAATAAAGATTTGTATGCTTTCGAATCAATCTCGCGGTACTTTGATGTCATACACACCGATCGGTCTTCAAGCGCGGCTTCAATTCAAACACACCTTAAATCTGCAGTGGTCAGGTGGTACAGCACTCATAGCTCTCAGAAAATGTGGCTTTTCACAGATTACGGTAATTGCTAGAGATGCACCGATTACAATTTTCTAGGCCGATTCCGATTTCCATTGACTTTGACCTGCCGATACCGATTTTAGCCGATTCCGATTCTATTTTTTCTAACCACTTTTTTATTTTCAATAACACAAATATTTATTTTCTATATATTTTTTTATTTATAAAACACCATATACTTTTACCCAAACTGAATAATAAAAACAAGTTTAAATGGGTACATTTTCTATAAATATTTTCTATAAAGAGTCTTCATTTTAATTTCTGACATAGCCTACTCCAGTTACTACTCCAAAACACACTAGACATGCAAATTCTGTGCATTTTCGGCACTTTTTGTGTGAAATCATATTTATTTTGTCCATCAAAAGTGTGCTTTCACTTTAATTGAGCGTGAGCAGCGCAGCAAAAATAGACTCTGTGCCGAAACCCCCGCTTCACTGCTGCTCACGCGCTGCTCCTGCTCCCGGTGTGAATGCACTCGTTGATTAACATGCGCGCCGCTCACGCTTGCGGTGTGAAACGGCCGTAATTCACGAGGTTTCCTACATGTGCGTTCCGTGTGCATGTGTGATGCTGATGTTAATCATGCGCTGCCCGAGTGCAACTTTCCTAAAATTAAAGATATATCTCTGTGTGCATACGATATGGCCCGTCACAGATAAGGTCTCAGTATCTCTTCATCTTTAAAGTTGAGGGTTTTATGTACTGATTCCATTTATATTCAGTCTTTTCCCTCCAAAAATGTTTGTTTTCGTTTTTTTCTCTCTCCTATTGCATTCTTTGATCTTGAAATAAGCGGATTGTTTTCGATTATCAGTTAATTTCATTGCCATCAATTTGCATATAGTGAAGATCGGACTTTTATACATTTTCCTGTATGATGGGTATCTGTGTACAAATGCATGAATGCAAATGTTTAACAGTTTGATGTTCGTATCTACTTTAAAAGTGATTCTTCGAGGAATGCCAGCCCAGAGCGACTGGTCTTCAGCCTCTCTGCTTTGCTGGTCATGTGACCTGACCTGCAGGTGAACAAGCCGTGCTGATTCAGCAGTGAAGTCTTGATTTACCGGATTGAGCACTTATCAGCATCCTCTCTTTCTCTCTCTCTCTCTCTCTCTCTCTCCCTCCGGTCATGCTCTTTTCTGCTACTCTCCCCTTTCTCACAATCTTTGTGTCACATCTGTCATCTCTCCCATCACACAACACTGTCTGTAGGCGGTTAAATTATTACACTGTAACACCCAACGAGTTCGGATAACTCATTTCAATTGAGGATACAGATTTTCTCAGTGCATTTCATGAGTTCACACTTAGATATAATCAGATATAGTATAAAATATGCGTATTTGGCGTGCTGTCCAAGGAAAGGTCTCCGAGCTCTGAAAACCCAGAGCACCCCCCGCCCCCATCCCAGGCTAGGATAAGAATAATCGAATTTCAATGATGTTTTATTAACAAAGTTTGGGAGGAGCACGTTCAGATGGTCTACCCAATCAGTGCGAGAGTAAGCTTATATATAGAGCCAACTCCTTACTCTCGCACTGATTGGGTAGACCATCTGAACATGCTCCTCCCAAGCTTTGTTAATAAAACATCATTTATGTTTAAAAACTGAAATTGCACAGCAATGACTGAGACTACTACTCTATCAGCAAGTGCAGTTACTAGCCTACATTTAAACAAATCAGTGTAAAGATAAAATATAATTTAATTTCAACATTTACTCTCCTTACAAAGTCTGAAGCAAAGCATGCAGGGAACTAGAGGCTACTGCAACTGATTCAGCTTGAGTTCTGTTTAATATAATCAGTTAATGAGTTTGCATAACTTTTTTTCTAGTTAACTAAAATCAAGCATAACTTTCTACTTAAACATAACTTTTTTAAGTGCATTGAACTTTCAGTAATATTTAAGTGAAAATAACTCGTTTCTGTTACGATTCCCTGTGTCTCTGGACTCTTATTTTGATATTCTGTTGTCTTGCTGTGGTTTAGTTCCTATTTCCTTGGCTGTGTTCGAAATCGCTCCCTATACCCTCATTCACTATTGCCCGCATTACTCCACTAATAAAGTCCACTTGAAGGAGTGAATGAAAACGAGTGAGTGAATTCGGACACTGAGTGTGCAGGAAGGGCTGCCGCTTTTGCAGAGTTTGTGCTTGCTGTTTAATAATCATTTGAAACTGGCAGCTCCAGTTGTAATGAAAAGATTTGTCTCGAACTCGGTCATGGAAACTATGTATAAACCTTAATTAAACTATTTAATAATCAAATGGCTGGATGATTCAGCTGCGGACGCCATCTTCTGGCAAGACGCGGGACTTTATTCAGCGTGACCCTCGTGGTGCATTATGGGAATTCTCTAGGCGTTGAGCATACAACGGTCTTACACTCGTTATTATGGTGCATTGTGAGATTGAATGAGTGCACTCGATAAAGTCCACTATAATATCAGACACCACTACAAATGGATGTTCACTAAAATACACTCACCGGCCACTTTATTAGGTACACCTGTCCAACTGCTCGTTAACACTTAATTTCTAAGCAGCCAATCACATGGCGGCAACTCAGTGCATTTAGGCATGTAGACATGGTCAAGACAATCTCCTGCAGTTCAAACCGAGCATCAGTATGGGGAAGAAAGTTGATTTGAGTGACTTTGAACGTGGCATGATTGTTGGTGCCAGAAGGGCTGGTCTGAGTATTTCAGAAACTGCTAATCTACTGGGATTTTCACGCACAACCATCTCTAGGGTTTACAGAGAATGGTCCGAAAAAGAAAAAACATCCAGTGAGCGGCAGTTCTGTGGGCGGAAATGCCTTGTTGATGCCAGAGGTCAGAGGAGAATGGCCAGACTGGTTCGAGCTGATAGAAGGGCAACAGTGACTGAAATAACCACTCGTTACAACCGAGGTATGCAGCAAAGCATTTGTGAAGCCACAACACGCACAACCTTGAGGCGGATGGGCTACAACAGCAGAAGACTCCACCGGGTACCACTCATCTCCACTACAAATAGGAAAAAGAGGCTACAATTTGCAAGAGCTCACCAAAATTGAACAGTTGAAGACTGGAAAAATGTTGCCTGGTCTGATGAGTCTCGATTTCTGTTGAGACATTCAGATGTTAGAGTCAGAATTTGGCGTAAACAGAATGAGAACATGGAACCATCATGCCTTGTTACCACTGTGCAGGCTGGTGGTGGTGGTGTAATGGTGTGGGGGATGTTTTCCTGGCACACTTTAGGCCCCTTAGTGCCAATTGGGCATCGTTTAAATGCCACGGCCTACCTGAGCATTGTTTCTGACCATGTCCATCCCTTTATGGCCACCATGTACCCATCCTCTGATGGCTACTTCCACCATGTCACAAAGCTCTAATCATTTCAAATTGGTTTCTTGAACATGACAATGAGTTCACTGTACTAAAATGGCCTCCACAGTCACCAGATCTCAACCCAATAGAGCATCTTTGGGATGTGGTGGAACGGGAGATTCGCATCATGGATGTGCAGCCGACAAATCTGCGGCAACTGTGTGATGCCATCATGTCAATATGGACCAAACTCCCTGAGGAATGCTTCCAGCACCTTGTTGAATCTATGCCACGAAGAATTGAGGCAGTTCTGAAGGCAAAAGGGGGTCCAACCCGTTACTAGCATGGGGTACCTAATAAAGTGGCCGGTGAGTGTAGTTCCCTATTTAAAGATATTAGGGTGATTTCGGACACAACCCTTGTTGCCATCTTGTTAGATATCCTTGTTTGTTACCATGTGAACTAATCACCAATACCTGTCCTTTATTTAGCCTCTTGTTAGCTTTGTGTATTTAAACCCTCAGTCATTGTCTGTTCATTGTCTTGTGTTAACGTCGTAATCGTGCTGGTGTTTCTCGTTATTGTTCCTTGTGTTTATTAAATGTGATTTCATCATTCATCTGCATCAAGCCTCTTGAATCTGGATGATCATGTCAAGCCAGAACGCGACAGCTTCTTTTAATACAATTGAAGTTTATTCCATTGGCACGTTCTCATTTGAGTCCCAGTGATTTACTGATATTAATGGAAAATGAAACCATTTCCATACCAGCTGGACCGAATCTGCACAGAATGGAAAGGTTAAGCAACGAGAACAGTTTGGCCCGACGGGGGAAAAGCAGCTATACAATTCAGAGTGAAGTGACAAACAATGAATTGAAAATGCCTAGTTTATACCTTCCCGAGGATGGGCTTCCCGTCCTCATAGTGTATCTCCACATAGTCTGAGGACAGCAGGTCACTGGAACACAAAAACACACACAGATATGAACTGGTACAAACTTATGATCATCTGTTGATTCTGGATATCAGAAGACTGGTATTTTAGCTCAGGTTTACGCATAGGGACTGTTTTCTCAACCACCTTCGGCTGTAGAGTATTTGCTTTGAAAGGAAAGTATCTAAATCCAATTTTGTTGAACCAGAGCCTATATAATTCAGATGAAACTTCACTACACTCAGTTCAACATACACTCATGTGCAACACGTTTTCTGCATATTTTCAGCATTTCTGAAACTTGACATCTGTAACATACCCATACACAGAAGAGAGATCCTGCAAATGGATAACACCTCATCATATGGTTCTTATTTAAAAAAAAAAAAAAACACACACAGTATAGAAGATAGTCTTGTATTTATCAGAGATATACTTAACGAAAATGCTTGTCTAATACTGACAAGTAGCCTATACAGAAAAATCTGTATCTTTAGCCTATAATTGTACTTAATCTTGTGATCGAGATATGCTTAAGAAAGTTATAAATAAGTATTCAAAGTATACTTTTCTTGTAGTTGTATTTAACATTTTTAGTTTGTATTTAACTAGCAAATAGAGCAAGTCTCTTTATGTAATACATAAATCATTGGGATAACTTATAGGTAGTGTACATATAGGTGTTAACAAAGTCTAATTCAAGTAGTTAATGGTTTTAACTGTACAAAAGATTCCAGATTTTAAGTACAAAAATTAATATCTAAATAGGAACCCTAGAAGCATACATAAAGTTCAAGTACAAGTGTGATGTTAAGTTTACCTAAATGAAACGTCTCAGGTTACGACTCTAACCATTGTTCCCTGTGAAAAGAGAACGAGACGCTGAGACGCTGTGGGACGCTATGGAAACACCTCTGCGTGATTGCGTCATGAACCACATGTGAAATCATAGCGGGACCAGGAAGCTATAATGTGCACCCGCACCAAACAATGTCAGCTTCTGATATGTCGAAGTAGATAACAGGCATGCAGGAGGTATGGTAGGGCAACACAGTGTCTCGTTACAGTCGTAACCAGAGACGTTCTCTTTCGAAGGGAACTCGCGCTGCATCATAGTAGCAACGCTTTGGGAACGAAATACCCACAACGGCGTACTGACAAGTGACTGTCTAGTGTGAAATTATGGAGAGCACAACTAAGATATGAGCACCTGGGACCCTGGTATAGAGCCTAAATCAAGGTAAAAAAAAAACCTCACAAATATGTGCGGAGAGGACCAGCTTGCAGCATCACACATATCCTGAAATGATACGCCTCACAATAAGGCTCTAGAAGCCGTCATACTCCTAGTTGAATGAGCTCTGAAAGCCATATGTTAAGGCTGACCAGATGCATATACAGTGGGGACAACAAGTATTTGATACACTGCCGATCATTGGTACTCTTCAACAAGTGACGGAATCTAAAACAAAAATCCAGAAAATCACATTGAATGATTTTTAAGTAATTCATTTGCATTTTATTGCATGACATAAGTATTTGATCACCTACCAACCAGTAAGAATTCCGGCTCTCACAGACCTGTTAGTTTCTCTTTAAGAAGCTCTCCGATCATTACCTGTATTAACTGCACCTGTTTGAACCCGTTACCTGTATAAAAGATACCTGTCCACACACTCAATCAGACTCCAACCTCTCCATAATGGCCAAGACCAGAGAGCTGTGTAAGGACATCAGGGATAAAATTGTAGACCTGCACAAGGCTGGGATGGGCTACAGGACAATAGGCAAGCAGCTAGGTGAGAAGGCAAAAACAGTTGGTGCAATCATGGAAGAAGTTCAAGATGACGGTCAGTCTCCCTCGGTCTGGGGCTCCATGCAAGATCTCACCTCGTGGGGCATCAATGATAATGAGGAAGGTGAGGGATCAGCCCAGAACTACACGGCAGGACCTGGTCAATGACCTGAAGAGAGCTGGGACCACAGTCTCAAAGGAAACCATTAGTAACACACCGCACGCATGGTCCCCCTGCTCAAGCCAGCGTATGTCCAGGCCCGTCTGAAGTTTGCCAATGACCATCTGGATGATCCAGAGGAGGAATGGGAGAAGGTCATGTGGTCTGATGAGACAAAAATAGTGCTTTTTGGTCTCAACTCCACTCGCCGTGTTTGGAGGAAGAAGAAGGATGAGTACAACCCCAAGAACACCATCCCAACCGTGAAGCATGGAGTTGGAAACATCATTCTTTGGGGATGCTTTTCTTCAAAGGGGACAGGACGACTGCACCGTATTGAGGGGAGGATGGATGGGGCCATGTATCAGGAAAACCTGCAATATCGGCAGTGTATCAAATACTTGTTCTCCCCACTGTATGTAAGAGAGATAGCCTCAACTATCCACTTGCTCATACTCTGCATAGATGCTGGGGACCCTTGTCTAGGAGTCCCGAAGCGGGGAACTTAGAATGTACCCCGGTCTAGGGTGTAGAAAAGCTTTCAAAATACCTGGTGCAAACTCTAAACACGAAGGGGCAACTGACAGGGATTGAAGATCTCCTATTCTCTTAAGAGACGTTAAAGCCAGAAGAAACAGGTTTTAACATGAGAAATTTCTCTGGAACAGTTTCAATACGCTCAAAGGGAGCCGTAGACAGGCCTTCCAGGACAACGGTCAAATCCAAGGCCAGTAATCCAGTGTAATTTGCAGGCCTCAGCGTCAAGGCACCATGAAGGATATGCAACATCAACAGGTTTCTCCCCAATGACTCACCACCCAAAGGTAAGCAGCTATGGCCGCCACCTAAACCTTTAAAGTAGAGGGGTTAACCCTGCGGAGAACCAACCTTGCAGGAACTCCAGCACTGTACCAACCAGGCAGTTAGCTGATTCCTGCACCATGAAATGAATACTCTCCACTTCAAGGCATATAGTCTCCTCATGGAGGGAGCTCTGGACCGGAGAATGGTCTCAACAACCTCAGTTGAGAGACCAGAGTCTAGGAGTTGGGCTTCCTCACAGGCCAAACCCACAGCCTCCTCAAGTATGGCCGGGGGTGCGGGAATGTGCCCCCTGTCTGAGTAAGAAGGTCGAAGAAAGACACAAGGTCCGAGAACCAAACTCAGGCTGGCCAGAAAGGGGATACTAACAATACTACAGGCCCCATCTTGGCAAACTGTCTCCAGAACTCCTGGGAGCAGAGTGATCAGGGGTAAAGCATACAGACGTAGCCTTGGCCATGTTTGTACCATGGCATCCAACCCAAGCGGGGCTGTAGTATCGTGTATCGTTTCCTAAGACGCATATAGAGCGATGTCCACCTTGTTGAACTCCCTCTATATGTGCTCCTCAACCTCAGGGTGAAGTCTCCATTCCCTGGGCCTCTGCCTTGATAGGATGTCTGCTCCCTGATTTTTATGCCCAGGGATATAAGACTCCACAGGAGGATCTGGTGTGGCAGTTTGTAAAGTAGGCGTGACAGCAGGCCCCCCTGATGATTTATGTAGGCGACCACCGATGTGTCTGTTATCTGTCCGGACAAGAACATGGTGACCCTGAGGTCAGGGAGAGCCATAGAAAGACAGCCATCTTCTCCAGACTGTTTATGTGCCAAGAGAGATGATGAACTCGTCTCACAGGCCCTGAGTAGACTTGTCCATGGTCGACCCCCAGCATGTGAGGGACGCATCCATCATTAGCATCTTGCGATGACAAGGAACTCCCAGCACGGGACCTTGGGACAAGAACCAAGGTTTCTTCCACATCACCAAGGTACAAAGGCTTGCGTGTAAAAAACCTTGGTCTTGAGCCACCACTGTACAGCAGGCCAAAAGGTATCACGACTGAAACTGCAAACAGTGAGTGACTGGTCTAGCTTTAACTTGTTCATGGCTGCAAGGATCGAATAGATACGAGCAGGTGACAGACATGCCTGGATCGTCATCGAATCCCACACAACGCCAAAAGGTGGTCCTCTGTGATACAGAAAGCACACTTTTCTTTGCATTCAAACCCTCCTTAAAGAGCACCTGGCTGGAGCAGGAGTGTGCCCCTTGCTCCCAAACAAACAACACATAAATCACATAAAATGTGTATCCTCACCTGTAATGTAGCAATGGCAGTGAGGGACAAACGATTTAAATTGCTGTGTGCTTGCCATTATACTCCTGTCTTAGTTAAATATACAGTGCTTGTGACAAACAAAAAATAAATAGAGACAATTTCACATAGAGCACTTGCTGAAGGCACAGAAGATGATATTGAATGAATGAGGCATTTATATAGCGCTTTCATATGTACTACTGTACACCCAAAGCGCTTTACAATCATATCAGGGGGTCTCTCCTCAACCAGCACCAGTGTGCAGCATCCACTTGGATGATGCGACGGCAGCCACAGTACAACGGCGCCAGTGCGCTCACCACACACCAGCTATAGTGGAGAGGAGAGAGAGGGATAGAGCCAATTCAGTGGATGGGGATTATTAGGAGGCCATGATTGGCAGGGGCCAATGGGTGGAATGTGGCCAGGACACCGGGGTTACACCCCTACTCTTTACGAGAATTGCCATGGGATTTTTAATGACCACAGAGAGTCAGGGCCTCGGTTTAACGTCTCATCCGAAGGACGGTGCTCTTTGACAGTATAGTGTCCCCGTCACTATACTGGGGCGTTAGGACCCACATAGACCACAGGGTGAGCGCCCCCTGCTGGCTTCACTAACACCTCTTCCAACAGCAACCTGGTTTTCTCAGGAGGTCTCCCATCCAGGTACAAACCAGGCTCAGCCCTGCTTAGCTTCAGTGGGCAACCAGTCTTGGGCTACAGGGTGATATGGCTGCTGGCAAATTTTGGTCCGGGTGCACTTTATAGCATCCTGGTCATGACATCACCCATCTATGATGTCCCGCCATGCCATTGGACTGATTTCACACGTGCTTCACGACGCAGTCACGCAGGGGCATTCCCATACCGTCGCTAAAATGATGCAGCGTGAGTTCCCTCGAAAAGTCTAATTGCAGTATAAA